TCCCATGGACAAGTTCTTCAGCACCTATGAGAATAGACCAAGACACCTGAAAACGCAATCTGGTCTAATACAGAAAGCCATAGAACTGAAGAAAGCATTAAAAATCGATGACAAACCAAAAAGCCTCTCTCCCCCCATGAACCCATTAGCAGACATCGATGTAGTTGACACACTTGCTAAGAAGGGGACAACGATTTTGCAATGCATGGACCGCCCGATGTCTTTCCACACAATGAAGGCCTTAATCTGGAGAGAATTCCAGACCTTAAGCTGCAACGAAATTAAAGCTCGAACAAAGGAGAAACTGTGGACAGTGGCAATCTCCGACATACCCGACTGGCCAAGAATCGAACCCGTTGCTGAGTTTAGACTACGTATCGGACACGATTGCTTGGCAAAACACCTTCACAGATTGGGATTATACACTCAACCCACATGCCCTCTATGTAACCTACAGGAGGAAATGGATAAGACCCATCTGATTCGGTGTCCAGCCCTAAAGACAAGTACGGAAAGCCAGAGATACTGGGAAGCAAGAAGACAGCTAATGAATTGCTATTAATTAACTGCTATAGATGTACCCCCCTCTTCTTGGGGGAAGCTGAAATCAAAGATTAAGGGCTAATGATAAATATCATAAAGCCTGCCATTTGAAATAAATAAAAATAAAATTTCGTTAACTCCTTTGTCAAAACTTGAAAAAATGATATTAATAGTAATAAAATCGGATGTTCAGATCTCAAGTGAAAGTAGAAGAACGTGAGCATTAGGAGGATGAGGATGGCTCACAAGATACTGGTCGCCACCTTCCTAAATTAACTTTAAATGCTAAACATACACGTTATATTTGACCATTTTAACATCTCTTTAAATGCGCCTCCAAAAGCGTTTCGATATTTCAAACTTGAATCAACACGATCCATTATAACATCCCCTTTAATGATTGGCCCACGTGTTTAAAAAGGCAAACTTTTACTGCAAAAAGCAGTTTTATGCTTCAGCTAAAATTGCCTTCAAACTGTACGCAATGTTCACACCTCAACTTTAAAGTCCTCAGGATCACTTGAGAACTGAGCACCTGATGAAGCATAACAGACAACGAGTATAACATATAAAGTTAGAGAGACAGAAACATAAAAGTAGATTTCGGTCTTACAAGGTACTTTTTCCTTAATTCATGGTCTTCAAGCCAACGAATACCTCCAACCTTCTCTACATATTTGTAACGACTACCCTTGTGATAGCACGAGCCCACAATAGTAAGTATAGCAATTTACCTGTAATTCAATGAAAGAGTTAATTTATTATTTATTTATTAAGATAATGTATTTGTGAAAGTATTTTTAAACTAATAATTTTACTTTAAGTGGAAGATGGGGGTACTTTTTAACTAAAAAGCATTTAAGTGCCTCCATTAATCCCCCTAGAAGCACCCAAATACAAACTTTTAATGATTAATTTGATCAAATAAATTGTAATATTTTGCATGCAACTTATTTACTGTTGATATGGCAAAATATAGCTTTAACCTATATTATTTTTACCGGATTAAAATTTTAAGAGCTCGTTTGGTAACAATAGGGCTTCGGAAGTTCTAACTGTGAACCTAATTCGCCCTGGAGACAATTGATTGGTTAAATAAACTTAGCATTATCCAATGAAACTTTGAGCATCTAGGAGTTGACGGATAATAGCTGAAAATACGCCTACGAAACAACCACAAATAAAAAAGGATTTTAAAGATCTCTTATGGCGTTATTTCCTAAAAAATTACTGTTGATAAATGCTCAAAACAGTGTCAACAGGTTTACGCTTTTCTGCCCTCTAGAAAATTTGTTTGAATGTTTGCCTCGTTTATAATATCTATGATTAGTCATGCCTAAAAGTAATGATTTACTCGTAAAACTTGTTTTTGCATTAATTAAATTTCAAGTACTTATTGGTCAACTGATTAATTAGAATGCATTTATATTATAATAGCGGGGATATGGAGGCGTTGGTACTTGACGCGTTTCAGCAGAAACCACCAAAGTCAGTCTTACCATTTCTTGAATTTTAGGTGCAGCAAATTCGAAGGAAATGACTGCAGGGACTACAATAGCAGAAACCTCCCAAGAAGACAAAATCAACTTAATTTGGGTAGTTCTCGGGTCGGTTTTCCTCATGGCCATCTTCGTCATCATGTATCAAATAATTCTGAACTTCTTTTATTCGCTCAAGACATCAGTAGCTAAAGAGGTAGCTGATCCAGAACTTCAAAAAAGGGATTACAGTAATGAACTAGAGAGTGAAATTAATTATAATTATGATAAAGTCAGTATTACGGATGACGACGAAAATGATTATGCTGAAAATAATAAGTAAAGTACCAATGGTAAAATTATTGATAAACCAATAGTAATTCAACTGTAATAAAATGTATCTGTTATGAACAAGGATTTAGTTATTGAGCTGAAAGGAGTCGAGGGTTTAATCTGCAAAGTTGGAGCTCAGTTGCTCAGGGTTTTAATAAGTTGAAACTAGTGACTCTGAGGCTAGAAATGTGATGACCCGATGAACTAATGCAAATTCGGTGCCAATTCCAACCTTTCCGTCAACCAACCCACAAATCGCGCATTAGATATACCACCTATAACATTCGAATAGACGAATAGACTTCGCCATCAAGACGGTTCTGCTGAAAACCTTCGTTCGTGACTTCGAATCGCTCAGGCTCTGCACAAATTGAGCGCCTTTTCATTACCAGGTCCGGTAGGGGCTTCATGCTAGACTTATCAGTTTCTTGAAATAATTCTTCTTGAATTACATAGTAATAATAATCCTCGAAATTCGACAGCGATGTCCAATAAGAAAGGCGAAAAGAGTCATACGGAATTTCACATGTTTGTTCATGATATTTTGACGATTAAAAACTTCCTCAAAAAAAAATGAACCGTATAGTTTAACGGATGAAAAATTTTAAGCCAAATAGCTTTTTATGATTGTAAAGGGAAATGGTTTTGGGGTTGGGTGGTTTTGCAAGTTTCTAACAGGCTGTAGCGTTGCCATCGTGAGTTATGTCGATTTGGGAATTTGAAAACGTAATGAAGTTGATGAAATTCTTCCGTCAATATATCCACAAAATTTCTTAGTCGGTGCCCTGTCATTTTCAATAGTCTAGTTAAATTGGATATCATGAATTCCTCCACCACGATCGAGGGATTCAGGTCTCCTTTGAATTGTAAGTAAGTTTAATGGTTCCCTACTTCCCAGTTGTTCACTAAGCCGTAGTGCTCCACGTGCTTGATTTATGCAGAAACCCCTTTCGAGAACACCACAGAGTGGATGGAAATGGTAGTACTAAAGTTCAGCAGAGAATATTAAGAGCAAATGGGAGAAGGACCAAGACGAGTTGGAACTTAAAGTCCATGGATAAGTGGCCTCATAGTTAGTAATATTTTGAAACTAAACTACAACAAACCTGATTTTTAGAGATCGTCAAAATCATGCGAAAAATAACCTCTGGATTCTTTCCAACTTCATTAAATGTAGGTAAATAGATGGGTCTATGAAAAATTATATTGGAAAGAACATGGAGAAGGTGACAAAAGTGTACTTAAGAGTAGAAAATTGGCCTAATGATGTTGTAAAGTTTGATAAAGAGCCAGACACGATTGATATGCAACAGGTTCGAAACAACAGCAATTAATGCGCTCGATAGTAAATTTGTAAATGTATAGACCGTCTGAGCTTTATTTGTAACAATCATTTGTGGATAAGATGAAAATTTTGAGGCAAGTAATCAGCTGTACAGTATCTATAGTATCTAAAATCCAGCGCGAATTGACAGCAATAAGTTATAATCAATTCATGATCCACTCGATACATAAAGTTAACGATATTCAACAAGATAAACGCACTCTAAGTTTGTCGTAGGCCTCTTCGGCCAATTCAAATGTTGAAAAATTGAGAACCAGGCAACCGCTCTCGTAGTAGATGACTTCAATGGACTCCCACTTGAGTTGGTCCCCGAGTTTGTGGGAAAGCAATCGTTCATACATGAACTGTGAGAGATTCTCCTTTAAATTGCCCACAAACAGTGGGACAGATGTAGAAGAAGTTTTCGTGGTAGAGGTGGAATTTGGAAAAGAGGATGAAGGTGAGGAGGTATTTTTGGATGAGCCTGCGTCAAAGACAAGACGCAAACAAAAACGGGTGAGTTGAAGAGCACGACAGGACTCCGCTCGCAGAGTGCTCAAGAGTTCCCATGGTCGATCGTTTGGATCTAAAATCCGTTCACTCACACAGAAGTTCAGAGAAACCATTGTCAATCGAAGGTTCGAAGAATCTAGCTCCTATAACAAATGAACACATTGTGAATTAACAAGTCGGTGTGAATAATGTCATCGCCCTGATTTTGAAATATTGTGAATGAATGGTAATCGGATGTTAGAAATTGTCAAATTATAAGCACACAATGAAGATCAGAAACTGGTCGTTTGAGTATGAAGATAGAGGTGGAACGTGGCAGAAAAGTATCCCCGATTTGATCAATAGAGTGAAATTGACTTCATTATGGTGGGACAGTGGTTAACAAGCCTGCTCAATAAGTCAGAAGTCATGAATTTGATACCCACCTGTGCATACTTAGTGGGAGGAATCGAAGTCTACCCATAACACCATTTTGTGCCCGTCCAATGTGTGTTTGAATGAGCCCCTCTAAGTAAGCATAGAAATTGCGGGAAAACACTTAAGTGTAGTGCGAAATGCGAGCAAAACTCAGTGCTGCAAGGGCCTTTTCATATTTAATTTTTACAAATAACAATAAATAATAAGTAAATAAAGCTGACAAACAAAAAAGAGATTGGTATCCACTATAGGGCTATTTAAACACCGTGGGATTGACTATCCCTTAAGCTTAATTACCCTTCAATAATAAGTGTTCTAAAATGTTAAAAAAGGGAAAATTTAAGTGCTTTCGACATTGATACTTTACATTCTGCCAATTGGCTAAATCTAATTGATAAGCTAATAGATACCGCTTATTTATACTAAAACTAGGTAATTTAATAAACGTATAAGCATCAGTCTCAGTATTGGTTGTACCAATAGGAAAATGCGCATTTTATAAACGGGTCTTAGAGTTTGCCTTGCGCCGATACGTGCTGTAGGGAACACTTCTGCAAGTGCCTTCCCCACCAAACAATTTGCTAAGCATAATTTACGAGCAAAAGAGATTACACCCGTTTTTAAGGGATAAGTGGTCAATTCTGAAGTAGACAAAGACTGCATCAAGCAGATATTTCAAGCTTTACTTTCAACAGGGCTTTGAGAGTTGGCGATACCTTAGGTGTAAAACCAAAATGGCGGTTACCTATTTATTTACATTTTGAATAATTTACTACTAGTTTTTTAAAACCGAGCGAAACAGTTACAAGCCAAAGTTTATTGTAACTAGAATTTAGAAGATAAATGTTTAAGCTTATTTTTACGGAAAAGGAGTACGTTTTAACAGAGCAGTACCCGACAATCCCCTTCCTACCACCCACCCCCCCCCCCACCCCCAAAAAAAAGAGTAAAAATTATCTCCCATATTCGCCAGATCTCGGCATATCCACCTATCAGCTTTTAAGGTTCAAAAAGCATACGCTAAGAGAAAAAATTGCGAAATGCAATTAAAGCAAAATAAGACACCCGAAAAGGTGCGTTAATTTAAACAAATTGGGGGGGGGGGGGGGGGAAAAAACAAAANGGGGGGCGAATAACTAAAAGAGCAATGAGAAAGAGTCACAATGTAGGCGGAAATTATACTATGCGCTACCCTACTCATAATGTGAAAAAAATGAATATTATTTAATATTATTTATTTCTTTCAAATGGCAGGCGTTTTGATAGATATCATTAGCCATTTAGCTGACTTCGGGCTTCACAGAGGGAAGGTTCATCAAAGTAGCAGAAAGTCGAGGGGTGGGGAACAGAAGAGCGATTCACAGATGTAAAAAAAAAGATAGACAGACACAAAGGTAGAGAAAAAGTAAAGGTGAGTACTGTGGAAGGGATCGAATATGACTTGCGGTAGGCCATGAGAGTTTGAAGTCAGGAGTCAACTGCCAGTTAAAAGACTTTTTTGTCGTATGAGTATACGTTGCCCAGGGTGCACCACGTGGAGGTAAGTCTATCGCACACCCCTAATATTATTTATTAAATCTAAGATTTCTTAATGATGCCCCTAATATTTTGGCTCAACCGCGCTTTGTTTTAAGCCACCAACTACTCGACGACTCTTAGATTATTTGAAATTACCGTATTCTGTAAACCGATTTCTTCTCCTGGAATTTACAACCTCTTCAATAACACCACCACCCGCCCCCCCCCCTCCCCCACTTCCCTTCCACCAGTTCATTTGCATGCAAAACGGAGCAAACACGTCGAGTATGACTATGCATTATATCCCATAATCTCAATATAGAGGAAGCAGTGAAAATCTACACAGTGTGTGCTACCATTTCCTTCGTGATGAGAATGGGCAAATATCTATTCACTAAATGCTGATTTTCTATCAACTATGGTAAAAATACTTACCGAAGTAGTCATTTTCTGAAAGGTTTGAACAGCTCTATTCACGATTTGTTGAGCTGTCGTATTCTCATCTAATTGTAGCTCTATCGACTGTTCCGTATCGTCGATTCTAAATAAATTCCAAATTCGTTTGTATAATAATCTTGGCAACTTGGCAAAAAAAGAAACTTACATAAGATCACCACTAAAAACTTTTATGTTCGAAATGAACGGATCATCGGGACATTCACGTCGAAAAACTAACGTCGGTCTTTTGGGATCGAAGCGTAGTTGATTTTTGAAGTCCCCATTCATGTCCAACTTCAGCTCACTTCCATCTTGAAAAGAAAATTTAAGATATTAGCATTTACTCCAACTAAGGGGAAGCCTTCGATGATTCTTGAACCCACCTTTCTCATTCATCTCATAGAGAGTATAGTCTTTGGGATTTCCAACGAGATAAAAAGCCTTGAGACATTGACTCATGGCCTTCTCTGCAGACATGGATTTAGAAAAGCTGAAACTCCGGAATGACCGACTCATTAAACCATACTCTCCATCCAGTGTACAGGCGTAGTCTAAGAATGAACAATAGTAATGAATTATATCAATTTCATCAGATTTACGAACCGGGGCTATTAAATATATATTAGGTTGGCAACTAAGTCATTGTCGATTTCAAATAAGAAGGCAAATTCGGAATTTTTGTTTAAAAATATAACTTTATTCAATTAGATATTGGCCGTTCTTGTCGATGACCTTTTCCATCGTTCTGGCAGAGTAAAAATTCCCCCTTCGTAAAATGTCTGGTCTTTGCTATTAAAAAACTGAATTAGGTGTGATCCGACATCATCCGCGTTGTTACAAATTTTACCATTTAAAGAGTTTTGCATGGAACGAAACAAATGGTAATCCGAAGGCGCAAGGTCAGGGCTATATGGTGGGTGTGACAAAACATCCCAACCCAGTTCCAATAATTTTTGCCGAGTAACCAAAGATGTGTGGGGCCTTGCGTTATCATGATGGAAAACAACACCCTTCCGCCGATTTGATAATGCCGGCCGCTTATCTTCAATTGCATCCTTCTTTCAGTTTTTCGAGTTCTTCAACATACACATTTGAATTTATCGTTTGGTTCTGCGGCATGAGTTCAAAATACAAAATTCCTTTGTGATCCCCCCACCAGACTGACAGTATAATCTTTTTTGGTGAATCTCTGCTTTTGATACTGTTTGGGCTGGTTCATCTTGCTTCACCCATGATCTCTTGCGAGTAACATTGTTATAAACTATCCACTTTTCGTCGCCAGTAACTAGGCTCTTCAGAAATGGATCATTCTCATTGCGTTTTAGTAGCGGCGAATCACAGATGCTAATCCGTTGCGTCAAATGAATTTCCTTTAACTGGTGAGGGATCCATAAATCAAGTTTCTTGACATAACCAAGGGTTTTTTCTAATTTTTTTCAATGCATGTATGCGACACATTGAGCAGCTTCTCTGCAATATCTCGTGTTGTGCTGTGACGATTTGAATCGATAATGGCCTTGATATGGGTTTCATCCACTTCGACGGGGCGGCCAGATCGTTGTGAATTTTTCAGTGAAAAATCACCGGAACGAAATCTTTCAAACCAATTTCGACACTGCCTTTCTTCCTCACGGCTTCATCTCCATATACGGCACATAACTTCTTTTGTGCTTGCGATGCGTTCTTGCCTTTTCGGAAGTAATACAATAAAATGTGTCGGAAGTGCACGTCCTGTTCTTTCATTTTTAAATTGGGATAAAATCAAAACTAAAGAACTAAACAAAGAACATTTTTTACTAATTAATCTAGAAGCCCATACAGTAAGAAAAAATATAGGTTAGATGCTCTGGCCACGTTAACAAAACAAAAGAAAGTATAGAGTGAATCCGTCAACAAAAACGGCAATGACTTAGTTGCCAACCCAATATATATATATATATATATATATATATATACATTGTTTGTCTTCACCCAAGTAAAACGTGTTTAACAGCTTAACTATGCAGTGATTTGCAATCAACCAGAAAACATAGTCGGTAGCGCAGCATAACAGTTGGATTGTATTGGTGGATTTTATTGGATATTTTGCCTTGAAATAGTTGATATTTAAGGATACATTGACTTCAATAATTGTATTTCACTACGAATGCCAATTACGGCAATTAAGGCTACCAGGTAAAATGGGCATATTAGGCAGATGGTCTCGAAATAACTTGAGCATTCCAATTTAGCACACGAGGGATGGATACCCAGTTTGGAAATATGAAGGCTAATAGAATGGAAAGCCAAAATAAACTTGATCAGTGCAAAAGTAGACTTGAGAACAAACTACAGAGATGGCTGCAAGTAAGTCGGCTCAACTATAGAAATAACACGGAGAAATTGAAGAAAATAGAAGAAGTGGCACAATCCCAGCAGATGACTATATTTTAATTATTGATAGGTTACTCATAGGCGTCCTTCATATTCGAATCTAACTAATCAAGTGTCATATCAGCCCACACGCAGACACCAATGCAAGACATCCCCATAAGGAGATTTACCATACACCAGGGCTGTCTTAGCTTTTAAGCTGTCAACACCGTGTGGTCCATTCCAAGTGAGTTACCAAGGCACACCTTAATAATAACTACTTAAAGGTGCAACATTGCCAAGTGACATGAACACTAGTGCCAAAAGAAAACTATCAGTTAAAACAAAGGAGTGATAAGTTGATTTGCTTGGCCTTAAGCGTTAATTTCAATGTCCATATATGCAAAAACTCACCATCAAAGCCATCGCGATCAGAAGAATCGCGAGTACCTCGAGAATCACGACAACTCTCCTCCTTACTGTCCTCGCTGCTCGACCAACAGTCATAGAAAGTGCGGACTTAGTAGAGGGAAAAAAAAGTTGTAATTTAAATGTAGTTTTTCACTTTATTTGCATTATTGCATTAATTAATCCCACTATATGTAAGCTAATCCCCATCTCAGTTTCCACTCCGCGACAAACAAACGCCTAAAGCCCATTACCCACAGATAGCCATCTGATTAGGCAAGTTCAATAAACCTTTTCCGACTTACAAATGGAACTGGGAGGGAAGTTTTGCAGAAAATTCCGTTGGCATTAGGAAGGTACCAATACAAATATTTTATAAATAAGTTATTAACTTGATTATTACACTAACTTGTACTACGTTAAGTAAGCCATCTCCATGACGCCATCTTTCCAACGCCTACGTATGGTAATAAGTAAAAAGTACTCGTGGAATACACTAAATTACATGAGTTGTGACGTACCGTTAAAGTTCAATTTACCTGTTTGTGGCTGTACAAAGACACATTAAAATTGAGATTATATGACTAACCACGTAATTAAATTTATTGGGAAAGGGGAAGCAGAATTTTGTGGACAGTCTTATGATGAAAAATCATAATAAATAGAAGTCAAAACTGGTGCGACAACAATGGAATGGAAAACAACACCGCGAAAACTGCATTCCAAACATTTTCTTTGGCCCATCACAGCATAAACCCGCTTCTAAGGTACAAGGATACTACCCTAGGAAAAACCAATTAGTTCACTTACCACGGGACGACGTTTGACACAAAGCTAACGTGGAAAAGTCACATTGCCAAAATAGCAGAACGAGTCTCCAATAGACTGAATGTACTGAAGTGTCTTGCTGGTAGCCTATGGGACTGTGCACGCTCAACTCTAAACACCACTTACAAGATCTTTATTCAGCTAATAATGTTGTATTGCTGTGAGTCACTCATTACAGCCACAGAGGTGACTCTCAAACCCCTCGAGAAGGCACACAACCAAGCATTACGACTAATTACTGGAGGGATAAGATCAACACCCATTGATGTAATGCTCCTGGTTGCAGGGAGCACCACAATATGTACCCTTATCAAAGAGGAGGCCTTGATCCTGTAAGAGAAGCCACTGCGCATTCCCATGGATAAGTTCTTCAGCACCTATGAGAATAGACCAATATGGACAAGTTCTTCAGTACCTATGAGAATAGACCAAGACCCTGAAAATAGCACCTATGAGAATAGACCAAGACATCTGAAAACGCATGCTGGTCTAATACAGAAAGCCATAGAACTGAAGAAAGCATTCCTAGTCTTATAGACCAAGACATCTGAAAACGCAATCTGGTTTAATACAGGAACTGATAAAAGCATTACAAATCGATGACAAACCAAAATGCCTCCCTCTACCCACCAACCCATTAGCAGACACTGATGTAGTGTGTTGCACCAACTGCTTGACTTCTTCAGGAAATCAAACACCCCTCCAGAACAAATGCGCTCTCTGGCCCTTGAGACAATCAATGTCAACTATCCTGCAGATCAATAGCTCCAAGTTTTCACTGATGGGTCGTACATAGAAAACCAAGCAAACGTTGGTGCAGGTGTCCACTCTGAACTCTTCTCTTTCAACGCAGCAGCGGGGCACAATAGATCCGCTTTCGAAGGAGAAAAAGAGGCTTTTAGGATAGCACTAAGACAATTATGTTGCCTGGATAAGAAATTCATTAAAGCGGCGATACTTTCGGACTCACAGTCAGCAATAAACTCAATTGGAAGCAGAGAGCCACAAAAACAGCTGAGATATACGAATGTAAAAACTCTATCAGCTGCTGAGAGAGAAAAACAAAACAGTGGTCCTACAATGGATTCCTGGTCACTGTGGCATTAAAGGCAATGAGCTTGCTGACACACTTGTTAAGAAGGGGACAACAAATTTGCAAGGCATACATCGGCTGATGTCTTCCACACAATAAAGACCATAATCAGGAGAGAATTCAAGACCTCAAGGTGCAACGAACTTAAAGCTCGAACAAAGGAGAAACAGTGGACAGTGGCACTCTCCGACATACCCGACTGGCCAAGAATCGAAGCCGTTGCTGAATTTAGACTACGTACCGGACACGATTGCTTGGCAAAACACCTTCACAGATTGAGAGCATACACTCAACCCACATGCCCTCAAGGTAACCTACAGGAGGAAATGGAGAAGACCCATCTGATTCGGTGTCCAGCCCTAAAGACAACAACGGAAACTCGGAGATACTGGGAAGCAAGAAGACAGCTGATGAATTGCTATTAATTAACTGCTATAAATGTACCCTCCCCCCCCTCACCCATGGGGAAGCTGAAGTCAAAGTGTAAGGGCTAATGATAAATATCATAAAGCCTGCCATTTGAAAAAAATGATGAAAAATCAACATCAGGACATTACATATGAAAAGAAAAGCAGATAAATGGAAGTTTAATAGTTAAACAAAGCAAAAATTTGGATGCCCTGCCATTAAAACTTTTTTACGATAGACCGTATTGGGGCCAGTTTATACCCCTTCAATAATCTCAGACTTCTCAATGAATAAAACTTCTGCTGCTTGTTGGGCAGTAACACCATGTACGATATGCCATTGGTGGAATGAAACCATCAACTTCTATTCTAAAGTTAAACCAGGAAATCGTCCTCTAATTAACCCTTTAACACCCAAAGGACTGTACTTGACTCGTAATAGAAGGCGACACTGCTGTTTGGAACATGTTCAATGCGTCTGTAATCTCCGCCTGATAGAACCAATACTCATCAGGTTGGCGGCATCAGTCTGTTGTGAGACACGCGTAAGTGTCTTTCCAGGGATTTAACCAAACTTAAAAGTAGAAAACCCTTCATTATCTTGTAGTGACCTTGTAACAAGCTTATTGATATGATTTCAAGTCACTTCTCTGTCCCGTATTTTAATCAGTTACTTCTGAGGGCAGCAGGTCACGAAGCTGTCTTTATGTTCTCATTACAATTATCCACACAGTTATCTTCTTCCCATCTTTCGTCGTTGAGTTAGTAGATGCTTAATGTGGCCACCAAGTTAGCCTTAGAGACATCTCCTTATAAAACGAATGACTAGTTTTGAAATACATAATACATTGCCCTATATGTTAAGAAGAGAGAAAAGAAGGGAGATATGCGATAGAAATCGAGGTTTAGAAGAGCAGGGGCCAAGTGTCAGCAAGTAGGAAGGAGAAACGGATCCTGATTGAGAGCAATTCACTGTGCTATGAGTGGAGTTGACTACTTTGTCTCCTTTACTAAATCGAGGGAAGCCACCATCTGATAAGCAGGGCTCGGTACCGACTGCTACAGCCTTTTCTCTATACTTTTGATCTTAATTGCACACACTTCGAACAGTTAAGATGAGCTAACTAATTTTAATTGGTTTAATACCCACTATTTAATATTGCGTCATAAATACCTATGGTAGAGAGGGCGAGAGAGAGTATCTAGGCCTTACATGATCTCCACAATGTCGTGCGTAGGCTAGTGAGCTCGCGCACACACCCAAGTGTATGGAGCTTCTATTGACCAATGAAAGAGCAGAGCGTTAAGGTCATTCGACACTTGGTCGCAATAAGTGTTACCTAGGTCTGGGGGAAGAGTTAAGCCTGTCTTGGCTACAGTCACGGCATCATGACAACAAAGTCGCCTCCAAATCAGAGGGAGGAAAGGGAGCGGCGGGAAAGAAATATGTTTTCGGGTGAGGTGGGTAACTTGAAGTGAGCTATGAATATTTAGCCCTGCATTCGCCGGGTCTCTCTTTTGCGTGTGCGTGTGTGTACACCTTCCTTTCCCGAGTCTCTATCGGACTCGATCTTTGAGCTAGTTTTGAAAATCGGACTGCAAATAAATATTATTGTAAGTTGAACACGATGACGTTTTGAGAGATGGTAAGTAAAACCTTGCAGTCACTCATTTCCCTAGCTCGCTGAGATTTTGCGATGATAAATAAAACTTTGTTTGGACTAATTTATCACCATGGATAGAGGAGCATAACTACGAGATGTCTCCGATTCGCTCCATGGAAGGGTATAACCAACCCTAAGAGATGGAACCGTTCGAACGAGATCTAGCGTGACACTTCATTTAGTAGGTGACAGTAGACTACAAGTTCTATAGGATAACAGTAATAACTTCCTAGTTCTCTGGATAGAACACTAGATCGTTTTTGAGTAACTAGCTCACCATAACGTTCGAAAACCCATTTCTATTTCTATCAAATGCATACTCAGATGGCGTCTGAACAGTTCAAAGACTAACATGTGGATTGCTAAATTAGTTTTATTTTCAAATAAAACGCCTTATTTTCAATCTTCATAAAAATAGTTGATTACTGAGTGAATAATTGTAAATTATAAAGTGGAATATAACATTACTATCCACCAGTAATTCTAACTTGCGTGGTTGTAGGAAGCACTGTTTCATTAGAAAACAAGAAGATATTGGTAATGAAACAATTGGGATGATTTAAATTAGGGAAAGGCTCTTGAAATATTTAACAAGGGATAATTCGAGTCAGGAAGTTGGTGCATAATTGCGCAATATGCCATGTCACTTTCCTTGTGGTAACCTTCAAAAATGTTTAAGGTCACAGATTTAGACAATGAGTGCGCTTATTTGATTTTCACGACCAAAATCGTTTCGTCATGGTGGCGTCGAATTTCCGTTTAAATATATTTAATGATCAACCTCTCACATTACACGATGTCATGGAAATTAGAAGGTCAAATAATTATTAAATTGCTTCCAGTTGACTATTGCCTGAATAGCTAAAATCTAGCAGTCACGTGATTTCACGCTCTGATCCATAAGTCCGCTTTGTCTCTGTGTTTGCGTCCACACTGATTTATCAATCGATAATTTATAATTGACTCACACAGAGTAAAACAGTCAACGTCTCTAAAACCCAAACTGTCACACTCCAATTTACGCCCGTTCCTATTTCTAAGACCGCCCATTAACCCACTCAGCCACCTCCAATTGGCCAGTCCAATTTCGCTCTTGGGGGGGGG